TGATCCTTGCCCACGCCCGGGTCTACAGGCTCTACAAGGAGAAGTTCGCTAGCTCACAGAAAGGTCTCTTGATTGGATAATTTCGACCGTTTCTCGGACTAGGCTCCCCTACAAAGGGGCACCTTTGCTTCGAGTTAAAATATATGCATTTAGTGTTTACGTCAGGATGGTACAACCATGGCAAAAATGAGGGCTTCTCTGGAAAATTCCTGCAAAGCAATGCTGTGCAGCAGACACTTTGCAAATAGCCAGGGATTCGTATGCTTTGTAACTACGAAGCATTTACTTTGCAATTGCAAAGCTACCCATAAACGTCACAACCCGTGCTTTTCTTTCGTATCGGCAGGACGCATTGGGATCGTCAACATCTCCTTTGCCGCGCGGCCCAACTCCACTCGGTACGAGGACGTAGCTGCCGCGCGTCGCCACAACCTTTTTACACTCGGCACAACGTTCGGACCGCTGGTTACTGGCCAGTACCCTGACGAGGTGCGCACTGTGGTGGACGAGGCCAGTCGTCTGGAAGGGAGAGCTACGTCTCGACTGCCAGTGTTCACGCCCGAGCAAAGCGCTCTAGTCAATGGTAAGAAGAGTGAGGGTCAGTGGTAAAACAATCGTTGAACGTCGATTGGTGTACAAGTTCAAGTGTGCAGAGCTTAGACATATAGGGTCAAAATAAGATACGTATTGGTTAACCAACTGCACGGTAAAAACAATGACTCATATTTTGAGGGAAAGGGGAAAACTTTAAGGAACTCCCCTGGTTTCACGAAAACTCTGGAAACCCAAGTGTGTACATGTATGCGTTATTTACTGAATACCTACATGTATGCAGCAAATACTGCATACATGGTCATGTACACAGTATTTGCTGCATACATGATCATGTATGCAGTATTTGCTGCATACATGGTCATGTACACACTATTTGCTGCATACATGATCATGTATGCAGTATTTGCTGCATACATGTAGGTATTCAGTAAATAACGCATACATGTACACACTTGGGTTTCCACAGAACTCCTCATATTTCGAGAAAGTATCCTGAAAAAATTTGGGATTTTTCCTCATTTTTTGAGAAGATTCCTCAAAATATAAGGCAAGATCGGAGGACTCTTCCTCAAACATTGGAGTTCCTCAAAGTTTTCTCTTTTTCCTCAAAAAATGATTCATTGATTTTACCGTGTGCAACCGACCGTCGGACGGACCGGCTGACAACCACGGAACGACTAAAATTTCGTGGCAGGGTTTTTAGCAGATGATACGTAGTTATCGTCAGCTTGTACTCTCGTAAAGTTCAAAGCGTTCGCCAGTTAAAGCGTAAAGTTTAAAGTTTGTCAGTTAAAGCAGCAGAAACGCACAAGCAGTAGTCCAATCTATATAGGCGGTGCGCTTGCAGTGGGGCTCTCGCGTGCCTCTGCCTCTGCCCGTGCCCGTACCCGTGCCTGTTCAAATCTGTTCAGTGCTGCTCAGACCTCGACCTCGGTTCAGACAGGCGTCAATGAACAGCCATAAATGCTTCGGTCGCAGCTTGACGACTCATTTACGACCTCGTAAAAAAATGGAGCGGCGCGTAGGACACGCAGCCCAGAGAGAACAGGAGAGCGGAAGGCCTATGCGTTTGCTAAAGGACGAGCTGAAGCCGGCCGCACACGTGTCACGAACCGGCAGCGGCCCGTCCGTGGCCGTTCGGCAGTGCTTCGGGCCCACTTCGGAGTTCGTGAAACCCCCTAGACGCGTAAGCGACGTGGACGGGCCCCGGCTCGGCTCGGCCCTACGGGCCGTGGCCCGGCTCGACTCGCCGAGCGGATCGAGAACTGCATCTTCGGGGTCTCGCGAACGCGCGCTCGCCTCCGAGTGACGGCCGTGCTGCTTGTCTTTGTCGCGCCAGTGGTTACAAAGGAGAGGGAGCGAGACACCTTGTGCTGTACTATGCGAAGGTGGCCCTCCCCGACCCCGTCCCGCCCAGCCAATAGGCGGGCTGGACGGCAGCCGCCAGTGCGCTTACGCGCGGGGGACCAGGCCCGAAGCTCGGTGAGCCCAGTGACCAGATGTTTTGCGAGGCACGGTTTTATTGCACCTCTTTCCCCTCTCCCTTTCTCTCTGACGCAGCCCCGCACGCCGCGCCACACGCCGCCACGCCGCGCTCGCCGCCGTGCGCGGCGTGTGGCGCGGTGTGCGTGTTGTGCGTGTGCGTGTGTGACCGCGTCCCCCCGCGCCACTCCAACGTTCAACCCTGCCGTGTTCAACGTTGCCGTGTTCAACGGTGATGCGTTCAACGTTGCCGTGTTCAACGGTGATGCGTTCAACGTTGCCGTGTTCGTTCAATGGTGACGCGTTAAACGTTGTCGCGTTAAACGCCGATGCGTTACATGCCGATGCGTTACATGCCGATGCGTTAAACACCGATGCGTTATATGCCACCGCGTTAATGCCACCGCGCTTATTGCTGTAACACGTTTTAGTTGTTGGTTCTCAGCGTTACGTGAGAAGTTTGGAGTAAAAG